CTCAGCCTGTGAGTATTTTCCCTTGGTTTCTCTTACTGCAATTGCCTGTCACTTCTTTGACCGCTGTTCACTTTGAATCTTATGCGCCTCTCCGTGGAAAGTAAGCCTTAAATTAAAAAATATGACAGAACTTCCTCGTCATCCTAATACAAGCCAAACAGAACAGCGGTCAAAGAAGTGACAGGCAATTGCAGTAAGAGAAACCAAGGGAAAATACTCACAGGCTGAGTCTTTCCGCTGGTCCTCCTCTGCTCGTCTTCAAGCGACAGAATCTCGTCTATGATTAGGTCGTCGTATAACTGAAAGCACCGTGTCTAAATCATTTGAATCTAGCTGTGTTTTCTTATTTCTTGGTGCGTACGTGCGGATAATAACATGGGAGTGGCAAATGATGACGAAAAATGTGTGATGACGAAGATGATGGTCATGATAAGATGAATATGCATGCAAAAACGACACCAACCAACCAACCAACCAACCCTGCATGCAAATAACCAGCTATTTCGTCAATTTCGACAGCCCGATTGAACGCCGGCTAGCGCCCCAAAGCACTTGCCTGTGGCGTCAAAGATCCTATCGAACAGGTTCTCGCAGATCGATGGCTGCCCAGTAGATGTGGGGATGAATATAACTACCGCGCGGGCGTACGCGAATAAATGTGAGACAAACAAAATAGCTCAGCCACGAAGGTAGACGAAACGGGGTCGATGAATAGATGGCGATGGGGAAGATGAAGAGATGAACGGGATGAACCAGAGAATCCTTCGTTTCATTCTCACTGATGGATTCATTCATTCTTTACACTGTCAACAGCTTCATACATGACAGACAACACACACAGCCGTGCAGACCGTCACACTCACAACAAACTGGCTGATCGAACACATCACCATCACGTCACGCTTTTGCGCCACACAGCTATCGCCTATGTGAAGCTTCTAGGGAAACATTGCCTACACAAACACGACATGATTCCCTACAGTGCAACATGCAATTAGTCCAACGAGCGGACAAGCAACAATTAGGTAAAATTAGGAAGGTCACACGTGAAGAGAGACCTCATAATGACCGTGGAACGATTACGAACCTCGCTCTGATTGAATGATCCACTTCGAGGACTGTCACCAAACCGATGAAGGTCAGGACTTTCCATTGACGGTGAATGGCGTTGGTTCTGTAAGAAATCGCTATGATCTGGAGTGAAAACATAGAAAACATAACCAACAGGTTTTAGCATGAAAATAGACACAGTTCGGCGACGGAGGGGGGGGGGGCATTTTGCATTTTTACTGCTTACTAGTTCCAGTTTACAAGTTTCACTCTGGTAAAACCTATGAACTTTTATGAAGCTTGAGCAAGCTCGTCTATCTCACGAAATGGCGCACTGGCAGGTCGACACGTCGATGGGAAGGTGCCCCCCCCCCCATCGCCGAACTGCCCTTAAAAACATGCATTGCTTTGATTCTCTCTA